TATTTGTGGTTTATCGTGTGTTTATTCGACTTAAGTCGTTTTGCGACGTAAGTCGTGACCTCTGAAAACGATTATCAAGTTGGGTGAGGTATACTGATTAATTAACGGCAAAAGGGATTAGTAATGGATTTATGAGTTCATTTTGTTTTACGACACGTCAACCACAACCATAATGGGTTATTAATGCCAACGAGATTTTTAGAATACATTCGTTTGTTTTTTGGGCGGCATATCAACACCTTATGGGTCATTTGATATCCGAAATTTAATTTTCTTGGGAGCATTTCTTTCCAAAATGTATTGCTGGTATTTTTACTATAAAAATCTATTTTTATACTTTCATAGTCTTTTGACCCCATTTTTTTTTTGGTGGTGGTGGGTAACTATTTGCCCATAGCAGAGACCCTAACAGATGCTACTACACCGGGTCAGGTTGAACTTGCGAACAACAGCAATTAAGAGGTGGTTCCACGCTTCACAAAACATCCCGATCAGAGGCCTTGCTGGTGGGTGTAGTTTATCGTCATACTTAGGATCCAAGAGAGTAGAAAGCACGATGGAGGAATCGGTAGCTCCGAGTTCGAATTCCAGTCGAGTTAATTACATTCATTTACGTGTTATTACCACATCTTCCCCCACCCAGAACTATGGATAAATAGCAGAACAGACTGTGCCCTATAGCTGTCAGCATGGCTGTCAAAGATCAGGATATGTTGCCAAGAAACACCACATTTGGTTTTCCTACGATCCTAGAAAGGTGCGGGTTAAAAAAGATATTGAAAACGTACGTGTAGCTGTTAAAAGCAGTCATAACAATGTTGAAAACAGACGTAAAGTTATAGAGAATATACGTTAAAGATATTGTAAACAAACGTAAAGATATGGAGAACAGATGTAAAGATATGGAGAACAGATGTAAAGATGTAGAGAAGAGATGTTAAGATATGGAGAAAAAAACATAAAGATATTGAAAACTAGTGTAAAGATATTTAGAAAAGGAGTAAAGATATTGAGAAATGTCTTAAAGTTATGGACAAAAAACGTAAAGACATTGAAGACAAGCATAAATATATTGAGACCAGGTGTAAAAAAAACATTAAAAACAGGCGTAAAGATGTTGTAAATAGACGTAGTGATTTTGAGAACTGATGTAAAAATACGGAAAATGGTGTAATAATATTGATAACAGACGTAAAAATATTGCGAACATACGGAATGGTGATTAAAAACAGACGTAAAAATATTGAGAAAGGGAGTAATGATATCGCGAACAACTTAAAACGTTATTGAGAACAGGCGTAAAGATATTGAAAACAGACGTAAAGTTATTGAGGACAGACGTAAAAGACATTGAGAACAGATGTAAAAATATTGAAAACATATGTAAGGATATAGAGAACAGGCGTAAAGTATATTGGGACAGACATAAAGATATTGAAAACAGGTGTAAAGGTATTGAAAGTATAGGAAAAATTATATTGAAAACAGATGTAACGATATTGAAAACAAATGTAGAGTTATGGAAAACATACGTAAAGATATGGAGAAGAGACGTAAAGATATGGGCGGATGAGGCATAAATATATTGAAAGCATACGGAAAAGATACTGAAAACAGATGCAACCTTATTTAAAATAAGCGTTGGGATATGAAGAACAGACGTAAAGATATGGAGAACAGATGTAAAGATAAGAAGAAGAGAGAAAAGATATGGAAACCAGACGTAAGTATATTAAAAACGGATGTAACGGTATTTCAAATTACACGGAAAAGATAATGAAAACAGATGTAACGATACTGAAAACAAACACAGAGATGTGGAGAACTGATGTAAAGATATGGAGAACAGATGTAAAGATATGGAGAACAGATGTAAAGATAAAGAGAAAAGGCATAATATGGAAAATGGTATTGGAGAACAGAAGTCAAGATTTAGAGAAATATGTAAAAATATAGGGAAAAGGTGGTATGATATAGTGAACAGACTCAAAGATATGGAGAACAGCTGTAAAGATATGGAGAACAGATGTAAATATATGGAGAACAGATGTAAAGATATGGAGGACAGATGTAAAGATATTAAAAACGGGCATAATGATACCGAGAAAGGGGATAAAGATGTCGAGAAATGTTGTAAAAACGGTCGATCCCATTCTGAATCTTATTTCTTTTCCGGTTTGCTGGTAATCCTACGTTCAAAGCTATTCAGCCAATAAAACAGTATAAAATGCTCTCATTTTTCTTATAAGTAAGAAAAGAAAATGAGAAAGCTTCGATGTCAAATCAACGAAGTTAGAATAAAAATGGCGGATTATGATAACGATTCATCTGAAAATTTCAGACAACAGGAAAGGTGGCACCAGTTTTTTGGACAAAACGTTGCAATGAAAAACAAAAACAAGGAAAAACATGGACTATTAATTTGAACAACACATACATCATGACAACCGCTATAGAATGATTTTTTTAAAGACGACGTCGGTTCTTTGCAAGGTTAATCGTCAATTTAATTGTTTCATAGAAATTACGTAGATATTTACTTATTTAATTATTTTCTATGTAAATGGAACCATAATTCTTGAATTGTTTCATTTCGAAAATGAGAAAGAGTGCTTTAGTGTAGAATTGCGTATTCACATTTCATTTTACTGAAAAAGAAAAGCTGTGATTAACTTGCATGAAAATTATGTATCTATCTATATATTAAATCGATTCTTATATTACATTTTCTTAGTAAAATCTCTGAGTAAAATAATAAATAAATTCTATTTAATTATTTATAATATATAATCATTTATAAATAAATATCTTTTATTTATAATTTTACTAATGGTTTTATTAAGAAAATCCTGAAAACAATAAAATCAATTTCTAATATATATAACCCTCAGTTTATTTTATATATTAAGATCTAGCAGTTATTCTTAGTATATATATATATATATATATATATATATATATATATATATATATATATATATATATATATATATAACATTTTCATTTATATTATTTTAGATAGAGTGTATCTGTGAAGGAACAAAATTAATAAAAAGACAAGAGGAAAAATTATTTTAGCCGACGCGTTTCCACGTCCAAGGAACCTTCATCAAGGCAAATGTAAATGGGTTATTTTGTTGCACGTATTTAGATACACGAGTAAGGATGTCATTGGTCTTTCAAGGCATTAAAATTTGAGACGTTCATGAATTATGGCTCTTTGTGTTCTCAGCTTGTTTCGACTGACCTTTCAATACATACATACATATATATATATATATATATATATATATATATATATATATATATATATATATATATTAAATTAAATTACAAAAACACACTACCCATCAAAAGTATGAATTTTCATTTCATTTCGTTTCATCTTTTTGGAAGTGTTATCTGATGATCCAAAGTCCTTTAAAAGGGCTCTGGTGAAATAAATTATTATAATGGAACCTTAAAGTGGTCTGTTTTTCTTTAATATATATATATATATATATATATATATATATATATATATATATATATATATATATATATATATATAAAGTTTTCGATACTACACTCGAACCTACGGACAACGATCAGTACCTGAAGATTGAATTAGGCATAAAACTCCGTGTGGTACTGTCGTCGTAGAGTATTATGTATTTTTACTTAATAGATCTGTTATTTTATACTGACCATTATTTTATTTACACCAAATGTTATATGTATGTATTTATATGTGAACACTTACACGCACATTGATTTATATTTATCCCTTTGATTATATATATATATATATATATATATATATATATAGTTTTTTCCTCTTGTCTTTTTATTCATATATATATATATATATATATATATATATATATATGAATAAAAGACTATTTTTAGCTGACGCGTTTCGTTCTCTGCGGGACTTTTTCAATGCAAATATAAGGGTTTATTTTGTTGCACGTGTTTATATACAAGAGCAAGGATCTCACTGGTTTTTAAGTTTGAGAACTTTTATGAATTATGGCTCTTTGTGTTCTCGACTTGTTTTAACTGAACTTTGAACATATATATATATATATATATATATATATATATATATATATAAAGATAACCGTTAACCCTAAACTTGAACAGGTTAAGATTGTTGTGATCTGTGAAACATCCTCTTGAGTGTGGGAAGAAGCTGCTCGGGAAGAAGTTGCTCGAGGGGAACTTAGGTCTCACCAATGGAATACGAAGGCGAGTGGTTCAAATGTTAGAACTGGTGGTACTAAGGAATTTAGTTAATCTGAACAATTTCCATGGAAATAGCGATAGAGCAGAGTGAGGCTTGTGACGTTTGGTCTGTGGGAAAGGGCGTGTAAAGTGGGAAATAATTAATCATCTACAATGACGCGGAGACGATTTTGGGCTCTACCGAGACTGAAAAGTGAAGCCTGAACATCTCCTGACCATATATAGCAGCAACATTCCATTTTCAGCCCTTTTAATTGTAGAAGATATCAGGTTGGGTCAGGACGTACTAGAGCTCTAGAGGCCATCTTCCCAGCATCTTTAGCGATGGATCGTATGTACAGCTTCACCTGAGGTCTGGGTTGAGTTCAAGATCCAGTAGGTGCTCAAGGAACGGGCCTTTCCTGAGAGAACTCCCGTTCATGGCGATAGGTGAAAATTCATGGTTCTGCCGATGATGAGGGATCATCAATAGTTTGATTTTCAAGGCATTGAATATGACCAACCAGCTTTTCCTCCCACTAAGCTGTTAAAGCCAGGTCAGAGCAGAGATCAGCTGTTAGACTCTGGTTATCTAGAGATTAGAGGTTCATCATGAGAGTCTCGGACGTGGCCAGGTTTATTCCAACTCTATAAAGAATTCTAAAATCATTCTGATGTTTGATCAGAATTTAGGAAAAGCGTCAAGTCGAAAACTTATCTTCATATCCTTGTATATATATATATATATATATATATATATATATATATATATATAGATAGATAGATAGATAGACAGATAGATAGATACATACATATGAAGGAACTAGTAGATAGATAGATAGATAGATAGCTATGAAGAACCTGATAGATAGATATAAAGGAACTTGATATATATATATATATATATATATATATATATATATATATATATATATATATATATAGATATAGAGAGAGAGAGAGAGAGAGAGAGATAGATAGATAGATATAGATATGAAGGAACTTGAAAATAGCTAGCTAGATAGATAGATATGAAGTACCTGATAGATAGATAGAGAGATAGGTGGTAATTAACTTGTAGAGAGATAGCTGGATAGATATAAAAGAAATTGTATATAGATATGACAGAACTTGTAGACAGATACATAGATATATAGATAGATAAAGAACCTGATAGATAGAAAGATAGATAAATAGATAGATAGCTACCAAGAATCTTGTAGATAGATAGCTAGATCGATAGATAGACAGCTATAAAGGGACTTGTAGAATATAGATAGATAGACAGATAGATAGCTATAAAAGAACTTGTACACAAATAGATAGATAGATAGATAGATAGATCGATCAATCGATCGATAGATGGGGATGAGAATTCGATTTTTAGTCTAAGTGCACGCAAAAAAGCGAACAGATGCTTTTGCATTTTGTAGATGTCTTTTTTTTTCTTTTTCTTTATGTTTTTAATGCAGGTAAAAATTGTCTGGCTTTAATATCGCCATTGAAAGGTTTCTTCTTTTCTCCTCTTCTCTTACTCTGTCAGCGCTTGAAGAAATCGGCAGGTTTTTCCATCTGAAATCGGAGGAACAGAATTGGTTGGCTGGTTTGTTCTAGAATCGATATCGTCAACCATGTGAAATTCTTGCCGTAATATGTAACCCAGCCGACATATCGATTTCACTCCCGCGCTCCCGCGTAAACATTGCAGTCAGCGCATTGTGTTTCTCCCCACGTAAAAAGGAAGGATAGAGACGGACCGAGCAAGGCAAAAAGCGAGGAAAGGGGGTTGGGAAAATCAGGGAATAGTGTTCGATACATAACATATTTTAGGGAGTGACTGACCAGGTTAGTCACCGTGACGAAATACCAGATGTTTATAGAGTCTTCGTACTGTCTATATTTTTTTAAAAATAACCTCTCGTTCATATATGAAGCAGTGTTGAACATTTCTCAGACCGCCTGAGATACTCATGTAAAAGATAATTATAAATTAATACATTTGATTGAATATTTGGTCAGATTTAGGTATGTGGATAGGGCCGAGAACTTTTCAACACCCACTTATTAGTTAGAAATATCAGACACAATGCAAATAAAAGTACACGTATTATTTGCTGTTTTGGATAAAAAGTCCGATGTTTGTATCTTGTATACAAGAAAGGCTATTTAAATCTCAACTAGACAAAAGCTTATAGTCAGTTTATATAAAGAAAACCAACAATATATATTTCTCTTCTGCATTTTACCTATTATATCTTATATAGGCGTTCTCAAAATCTAACCGCTAAAGATCTTTATCGGTAGCCTTTATAAATAATAGCAATAATAAATATATATATATATATTTTTTTATTTTGTCTTATATAGAAGAGAACTTATACAAGATCTCAGCTGTAAAATGACTTTATGTACAGGCTTTATAATAACAATAATGATATGTACTTTTGTATTTTATCTATCACTAGCCGCATAGCCAGGCGTTGCCCGTGCTTGATTCAAAAATCGTACGATTCATACAGCAATCGCTATCACTTGACTTAAAATATTTTTTACTCTTCCTTGCCTTTAAAGGAGTGCCCTTTGTCGTGCTGATGTTGCTACATGCCTTACTTCTTGCCTATCTCACACTGCGATTTTTTTCTAAGCTCTATACTAAACATTAAATCTGTTACGAAAAAGAACTAAACAAAATGAACACAAAACGATCAGCTTTAAAAAAAACACTCGTAACTGGAAAAGCCGAATGAAAAAGAAATGTTAACAACAAATACTTTTTCACACCCAACCCAGTTCTGCGGAATCAGAATCAACGTTGAGTTTAAGCAAGCGAATGAGCCAATTGGAGTAAAGTGCCATGCAGATTTAAATTTTTCCCACTTTTGACGAATGCAGCTATCGATTTTTTTTTGCATGCTAGCATGCTATTTAACATTCGTGTCAGTCAGCTGTTGGCTCTCACTCTGCCCAATAGAATCTTCCTGCCTATTCGTGGCAGCCAGCTATTGGCTCACAATCTCTATCTTTTTTTTATAAATATTTTATGGCTATTGTTCTAATAAGCTCTCCTCCTTGCTACCTTGACCCCAGGAATTCAAATATCCAAACTAGATTGACAACTAGGTCTCATCATTTGAATTAGATAGATGTAAAGATGTAACTGTGTTATGGTCCAGGTTAGGACCAAGGAAGAACAACACGAGGGAAAGATGTAGTACAAGGCCGAGTTTTACGTGGGTTTTCCGAAAAATGCTCGTAGAAACTGTAAAAACAGAATCAGGTTGGTCAACCTCCCCGAACGAGACTCTGCCCTTCGGCGGATCCTCGTCCGGGTTCCTCTCCGCTCAGAGGCAGAGAGTTCGACCGTCAAGCCGAGAAGCTCGGCTTGATTCGGTATCTAGCCACCCCCACGAGGGTTGCATGTGACACAAGGCCGAGTTTAACGAGGGTTTCCCAAGCCCGTAGGCTCAGCCAAAAAATGCCCGTAGAACCCTTATAAACGTGATCGGGTTGGTCAACCTCCCCGAACGAGACTCTACCCTTCGGCGGAGCCTCGTCCGGGTTCCTCCCCGCTCAGAGGCAGAGTTCGACCGTCAAGCCGAGAAGCTCGGCTTGATTCGGTATCTAGCCACCCCCACGAGGGTTGCATGTGACACAAGGTCGTTTTTTATCGTGGGTTTCCCTGAGCCCGTAGGCTCAGCCAAAAATATGCCCGTATAACTCGTAAAAACGAGATCGGGTAGGTCATTCACCCCGAACGAGATTCTGCCCTTCGGCGGAACCTCGTCCGGGTTCCTTTCTGCTCAAAAACAGAGAGTTCGACTGTCAAGTCGAGAAGCTCGGCTTGATTCGACCCTCTCTCTTGAGAGGCGTGATATACATAGTGTTAGGAAGAGTTCATTCTGTAGTTATAGTTAAGGACCGATGACAAACTGTAAGTTCTATTTTCATTATTTCTTTTCATGCACTCACTACCTGCTGGTTTTTTGTTTCCCTGCCAACTGGAATTTTCAAAAATTTAAAGGCAGTGTCAACTGCAATCTTCTGTCTTCCTGAAATCTGTTCTTTTATTGTTCTTACTTCTCACTAAAGTCTGATGGTAAGAAAGTTGGTTCACTGTGCCATGCCTGACAATTTTTCTCACCAGAATCCATCTTTCACATTTATAAACCTACCATTCCCCCGTGTATTGAACATTGCTGTCATATCTGTCCTGGTGTTCCGGTTATATAACTAGAGGTTCTCAACCAATCCAAAGAAGAGTCTGTACGAATATTGATCTTGAACTGGCATCTCGATTTCAGTCACTTTCCATTGCCGTGTCGAGGCTTCTATCTTTTCTATAAATATTTATATGGCAGTTGTTCTAATGATCGCCCCTCTTTGCTAAATCGACCGCGTGGATTTAAGTGTACTGCTAGATGAGCTACTAAGTCCCATCGTTTTACTGTTGAAACAGCTAATGCTGGCGAACCGGAAGTTATCTGGGAGTGGGTTAGAAATTGCTAAGGGAAGTCGCAGTGTGTAGTTATAAAGATGGAAAAAACTGTAGCTAACGGAATGTACACAAGTCGATTCCTGACCAATATCGCCTGGGTCACCGTAGAGTAGGGGTATGATGTTGAAAGACCCGAAACCCCTAATGAAACTCAGCTAGAAACATCACTGATGAAATGTAACAAAGCATTCAATAGATTTATTTTACGAGATGAAAGTTCTATTCTAATAATCTATATTCTAGCGCTTCTCTTTCTTGTATGACTCTCTTCCAATTTCTTGCTTCCCTGTCACCGACAATCTTCAAAAATTTAAAAGCGGCGTCAGTCGCCATCTTCTGTCTTGCTGAAGCCTCTTCTTTTATTTCCCTTTCTCTCCGCTAACGCCTCCTCCTTTTCTTTCGCGCCCTTGCATCTGAGTGGCATTATCGCCTTTCTTGGGATAAAATGATTAAGAAAAGATTACATCACATATAGACGAGAAGGTATTTCTGTATCTCTCGATGTTTACAATGACGTGTCAAAATCCATGCCTGCAAAAGTAATAAGAAGTAGTACTCATGTAATTTGATTCGATGGAAACACCCAGGCGTATATCAATGGAACTCTGACATCAGGCGAAGCAGTGTGAACTCCGCCAAGGCTTCACATATCAAGGAAGGGCGTGAATTCTCAAACGGAATATGATGGTAAGTGCCAGAGGAATGGGACGTTCCATTTCTGCGACGATGAGGACATTTCACTCGATCTATGGTGTTACGTGTGTACTGGGATGGGAGGCAGAATCTCACACCGTCCTTAGTGATCATGGCCACAAGGCCAAGCGAGCATTCTTAGTGAAGGGGTTAATTCACACACATCTTGGACCAACAAATATCGATAAGCTGTGGATAGCAATCGAGAGGGAATGGCACGTTTCCAGTGGTTTTCCAAACACTGATTTTTTAATCATTTCACCCCAAGAAAGGCAACAAAGCCTCTAAGATGCAAAGAGTTACTGAGTGTGAGAGAATATGAGTAAAAAAAAGGGAAGAGAACAAAAAAGTGCAGGAAGACAGAATAATTGACATTGCCTTTAATTTTGTAAAGGTCAAAGTTGATTGGGAAGTAAGAAGCCAGAAGAGAATCCCACAAGCGAGAAGTGCGAAAGTAGAAATTGTAAGAAATTACAGTGGGAATAATGAAAATATCGAAAAGTAAAGTTAAAACTGTGTGAGGAAGAGAGTAGATAAACTAGAAGGGCCAATGAGTAAAGAAAAATTGTAGTATGTTAATTAGAGAGAGAGAGATCAGGGGAAACGAGTGAGGAGGAAATTATTTTAGCTAGTGAGAGAGGTTGGAGTTATACTTATATACTTACCTTAAGGCAACACTACAAGACTTTTGGAAATCAATAGACACACACACACACACACACACACACACACACACACACACACACACACACACACACATATATATATATATATATATATATATATATATATATATATATATGAGGGATTGAAATTATTAGGAGGATGAGAAAGTAATTCATCGAGTCTATAAGAAACTTCAACAGAATGCAGAAATCAATGGACGGCCGTTTCTTCCTATATTTGGGACGCATTTGCAGTGCGCATCCACTACCGAGAATTGAAATCCGGACAGTTACGATATCAGGCAAACGTAATACCAACTGTACCATCGGGCCTCGGTGACGAAGAGGGAACGAATTAGAATCGATATAGCGCCGCTCGAACAAATATTCCGTGGGGGAATTCATCTGAGTTTCCCTTACCCAGAAGACCGCGGCTCTACGAGCAACGATTACTATCCCCAAGCCGCTCCATTCAGAGCATTAGAAGCCGGTTCAAGCAAAGATATACAAATGGTAGAAATTATTAGGAGGATTTGAGATAATTATAATTAAGTAATTAATAGAGTCTAGCAGAAACCTCAACAGAATTCAGAAAGCACTGGACGGCCGTTTCGTCCTATATTTGGGACACGTCAACAGTGCGTATCCACTACCTAAAATTGAAACATGTATTTTATGAGCGGAAGTAAAATAATTGCTAGTTTTTTTTAAAAAAATTTCAATTTAAGAAAGGTCATGTAAGTCTTTAGGGAGAGTGTGAAAGTCAAGATAAACTATTGAGGATAAAAATGATGTAATTGATTGTCTAATAAAAGAAAGTGAAAAAATTATTGTTGTTGCTGCTTATATATATATATATATATATATATATATATATATATATATATATATATAACCTTTTATTATTGATGTTAATTTTAATTTGGTGATAATTATTTATGTATTTATTTATATTAAATAATATA